ATCAACTGACTTATCATTTTACATTTTATAGTCAAGAGAACAAGAGAAAATTGGCAATCGAATAAAAACAACAAAAAAACACAAAGTAACTTAGTACCAAAAAATAATGAACGGAATGTATAATACAGCAAAAAAACTTATTATAATTATGGTGAAAATATTCAAGTTCATTGTGTATCTGGGTTATTAAGATTATTATTTATTATTGAACATTTACTTTCATTACTATAATAATCATTGTTATTGTTAGTACAATTATTATTAATAATGACAACTCTCCAGCGTAAATGGTCGACATTTATGTCATGTGGTTTAGAAATCAAAGATCACTAAGATAAAAACATATTAGTTATTAACAGTGGAAATTAATTTTTGCTCCTCAATAAAAGTAGGGCGAATGTGGAAATTGTAGAATTTGCAAAGTTTAAATTATGAACTGATCTCGGCTAGACCATCTTCAACAATCTGGAAGTACTGGATAGTTGGTTTATTCAATGCGTTCATTAGTGACTAACTTCAAGATGAAATTCTTGGAATTCTAGTGAAGATATGTAATAAGTAGAGTTCAACCTGGATGGGAATGAGACAGTTATCTACCATAAGTAATCGAAGCCAGTCGCAGAATATCATTAACTGACTGAAGCTATAAATTTATATGATTGGATACCGACTCGGTTGTACAGAGATTAAACATTTGTGCGTAAGACCGAGAGTTTTTGGTTCGATCACTCTCAGGGTCGTGGATGTACAGTCTTTAGGTCATCTACAACATAAGACCAAGCACATATATATATCGGTCCAAGTTGCCACACCTCATTAGCACAACAAGATGAAAACCAAATTAATAGAAGTAGTTTCCTCAATGATGGTAATATATAAAAGAAAGATTGAATATGGGGATATAATAAAAGAAGAAAGAATTAGTTGGTAGAAAGAGAGGTATAAAGTAATTTTAATCTTACCGTTTAAGGGAAGACAAAATGTGTATACACCTACACCATTGTGATCGATTCTGAGCCATGTTATACACAGTCTCCAACCGTTGGTTACGATGGTCGTGCCAACCTCAACCAAGTATTTTGCATCAACCAACATGTCTCAGACTAGAAGTTAGTAACTTCAAGTAATGATGCCACATTTTAGTTTGGCAGCTCCTAACTTTCTTTCAACCATCCCCTACAATAGTCAGCATTACGCGCTGTGGTAATCGGTAGTTGTGCGTGCGTATTACGTGGCCCAACCGTTTCAGTCGGCGAAGATTTACAACCTCATCAACTGATTCACCATCATTTCCTAATACCCCGACTCTAACCTGACTATTACTTACCTGGTGATACCATCAACTCCAAGTGATATCTTTTAAACATCTGTGATCAAATACTAGTAACTCACGAGTATCTTCTACTCTTAATGACTACGTTTCTCAGCCGTAAAGTAGAATAGGACGAACTGCTGTGCAATGTACTGGTCCTTAAATTGGTAGACGGATATCTCAACTTCGCGATAGGTGATGTGAGTTGGCGAAATCCTGAAGCAACAATTTTTATTTAGAGAGAGAGAAATGCACTCCAAACATCCTGGTATTGTTGCCGGATGCTAGCAAAAGACTCTACACTATAGCGTCTTCACCAAACAGGACTAGGTCATCTGAATATCCTATGTCGGTAAGTGGACCTCCTGGTAGGAGATTAATTGCTGAAAATCCAGTCGATGAGAAAGTTATTACCAGCGATAGGTCTATGATGAAATTAAACAGAAATGGATATAGTGGACAACCTTGACGGACAGCACTTGAGGTTGCAAAATCAGATGACAGTTCCCTATAAGCTCTGACTCGACTGATAGTGATCGAATGACGAACCTTTACAAGGTTTATGTACTTCAGAGGTACACTTTTCAATGACAGATACTACCAAAAAACCTCTCGGTCAACTGAGTTAAGAGCTGCTTTTGAGTTCAGAAAAACTACCATTGTCAGACGCCGATAAGCATGCCTGTATTCTAAGATCTGACATATGGTGAATATGTGGTTGATGCAGGTACGGCCGGGTTTGGAGCTAGCCTGATTTTCTCGTGTTTGCAGTTCACGAGCCATATTAAGGCGTCCAATAATTATTGAGGCTAGCATTTTAGATGCTATATTAATCAAACTAATCCATCTATGGTTGTCACAGGATGGTTCTGACCCGTTCTTACATATTGGGGCAATCAGTGATTGCGACCAGTTCGATGGGATTACATTCAGTCCCCGGATTTTAGCTAGAATATTGGTCAACCTAATCGCTAAAATTGGACCATTATCCTTAGAGACCTCTGAAGCCAATCCATCTGAACAGCTGCCCTTCGAATTAGCTATAGCTTTTTAAACTTCAATTAGAGTCGGGGGACCAACTTTAATGTTCTACTCAGGCTGTTTGAGAATGGTGGGTAGTTTTAGATTAGATGAACTACTCCTTAGTGTTCCGCCCGTCGTTCTAAACATCTGGCCTAAGAGCAGATAAGATTGTCGTCTTTATTCCAAGACAGTCTCATTTACACTTGACTTCTTAGTTCCAGTTTCTTTTATTAGTTTGAAGAGCTATCTCGTGTTACCTACAACCACCGCCTTCTCCGTCTCTTTTGCTTTCGTTGCCCACCACTGCTCACGGTCGTTCCTTAGACTTGTGGTTAACCTATATCTGATTTGTTTACTCTCTTCATCGTGTTCAGAGACTGGAGGGATGAGTTTACGAGAATCCATCAGTGTAATAGACTTGGTTTTTCGTAACCCTTTGGCATAAATCACTAATATATGTCACTGCTGTTTCCATAGCTGTTCGTATATCTTTCCAAGCAATATCTGGGTCATCCTCGATTTTAGAACTACCTAAGCCTGGCCTCAGTTGTTCATAGTATCTACTTTTGGCTTTCTTGTCATTCAGTTCAGTTCTAATGGGTCTTATTAGTGTGGTTTTTCTGCGTCCAGTAAGACGAAATCAAATGCATGCTCGTAGTAGAGCATGATCGGAATCCAAACGTGTATTCCAGAACTAGTGACAGTCTTCTATCGGCCCTCTCCAATCATGACTGATGGCAATCTGGTCTATTTGAGCCAATCACTGGTTTGGTGCAGGGGGTCGCGATGTTATACGATGTCTCTCCTCTTATGCTTAAAATTGGTTCTCATCAAAAATAGACGGTTGTCTGAACACAGTTGCAGCAGGCGACCACCATTATCTTTTCTCTGAGCCTAAATGCTAAAATACCCACCTGAATGTCTTTCTGGTTGGTTAAAGCTGCCTACCTGGGCATTAAAGTCACTCGTTACGAGTACCATGTTCGAGTGTTTAACTTTTTGAAGAAGTTCAGAAAGCTCCCTGTAAAAGTCATCTTTCACTTCATCCGGGCTGCAATCATTGAGAGCGTAGACAGAAACGACGAAAGGGGCAAAGACGTGTGTCTCTGTCCTTCCGAGTTCTTACTGAGTCGTTTGGCTGAACAAAACACAGGTGACTGATAACAGGGATCCATTCTCATCGTGCTTAATCTTCCCTCGTACCTAGTGCTATGCATACACCTGCCAGTCCATGAGAACTAGTCATCAGGTGGCCAGATAAACGGAGGGTGTATCTCGTCGTCTCTCAGTTTCGGCGAGGTGATGGCAAGTTACCGCGCTATGATCCTGTATGCGTGCTTTGGTGACACAGTATACATCAATGATATAAGATTCTACGTTTTTAGTTAAGGAGGCCTGTTGGTCAATTCGGCATAGGGTGCGTACGTTGAAGGCTCTAATGTTTATTTGAGGGCAAGTTTTCCGTAGACCTGAGACAATGTTTCGCGCACTAGAATCGTTGGCCATGGTGACACTTGAGAAGGAAGTCAAAAAAGAAAGTTTACAGTTGAAAATCGAGGTAGGAGGAATAATAAGATTTGAAGAGAGAGATTGGTTATGAATACAGTGATCTTGAATGCTGTTAGAGGTATCAGAGTCGTTTTCATCTCCTGGTTGTCCAAACCGTGAAAGGATTTTTCTAGAGGTACCTGAAAAGGAAATTTGGTTAGAGGTGTCCATAGTGACCGTGGAGTCCATTGGACAACTGCTTGAAGGCCGGTTACAAATGACCTTTTTGTGAGTAATGTTCATGTTAACTCCGTACTTGTTCAGACGTTACCACCGGGGGATAAGGTGGGGTGTGCATTTTTAGGGTCGACCTTTTCCAACCTCACCCCTCCTTGTAGAAAGGCAACATCGCTGTTATGCTGGTTGTCTGAAGGAAACACCTTTATAAGTTAAACATAAATAAACAGTACACAGAATATGATCTGAATATTGGCTTAAGCGAACTATCTGTCTACTAACTATAGGACAAGTTTACTACTCAACAGTTCATTCTATTTACTATGATGATGCCTAAAATAACCATTAAGCATAATAGCGTATTTATAAGTTGCTTATATTTAATCATAAATATCTTCAAAGTATTATTCAAGTATTATAGGATCAATAGTAAAGTGAAGCATTAAGTGCAAATTAATTGATAGAGTAATGAAAATCCATCATTTAAAGTGAGTTGAGATATGTATTAAGAAATGTACTAAGAAGTGATACTATTCATTAAACAACATTTAGTATCAGAAGGGGTTTTGTGGAGATTGTAGTAATTTCAACAGTTGAGATCGTGAGTCAATTGAAGCTAGACCACCAATAGACGGCGGATGTGTCTCTCGATTTCGTGGATTAATTTAACTTTAACATTAACACCGTCGGATGCCGGCCAGCTCAGCGGTCTAGTTGGTTAAGCATCTGGCGCGAGTCTGATAGGTCCTGGGTTCGAATCCCACGAGGTGGGGTCGTGGATACTCACTGCTGAGGAGTCCCACAATAGGACGAAACGGCCGTCCAGTGCTTCCAGGTTTTCCATTGTGGTCTAACTTCAATTGACTCATGATCTCAACTGTTGAAATAACATTTACATAAAATGAAGAATGATACAAATAAAATACTTTTTTTAGCTTACTAGTTATTGTAGTAATAATAACCAAACCAATGATTATTCCAATTATTCCACCTGTACTTAAATTATTATTATTATTATTCATAACAGTAGTATTCATGTTAGTAGTATTGTAATCACTAGTCATATTATTATTTGTATTATTTTGAACTGATCCACAATTATTTGTAATTATAAATAGAATAATAATAATGATCATTAATAAATATTGATAAATCATTGAACTGGTCGATAAATTGATTCCATTCAATAAGATCATAGTTGATGGTGATTATGTAATCATAGATTTCAATGAATTATGTAATAAGTATTATTAACATGATTTTAATGATTTCAATGAAATACTAATTATTGATGTCATCATATTCAATGAACAAGAATGAAAATGATCAAAATAAACATGATAGTTACAAATCATTGTTTAACTCAAGTACATATATATGTAGTATTAGTTATAGGGTATCATTAGTTACTGGGTATATTGAACCTTGAAAATAGTTATATATGTATAGTAGATACTGGTAGATACACATTAATTGGATGATTTTTCTTTTATTTTTTGTTTTTCTAATAAATAAATAAAAAAATTGTATTTTTATTGGTTCATTGTTTAATATGAAGTTGTACTTGTACTACTACTACTAATAATAATTAAATGTAATGAATAATTGTGTTTAGATGAAATGAACAATACTTTATTTTCTCTAAATTTCTATTAGATTCATTATATCATTGATATTGAATGTTGATTAGATAAGAATTTCACTGCCTAAAATATTTTAATGAAAAAAACAAAAAACAATCTCATTAAATACAATAAATAGATAAATCGATACGAATATTATACCTGTTCTTATCAGTAAAGATGTATGGTGATTATTAGTGAAATTGTTTCATCCTATTAAAGATTTATCAGTTCAATGTACCTACTTTGTAGAATTAATGTTCACATCAGGATTCAAATTTAATATTGTCCATTTCAAACGCTATCATGCTATCCAGAATGATCATAAACTCTGAGATGCAGATACATTCAAATGATGTGTTCTAAATAGAACGAAAAACACTTCTTGAATTCCACTTCTAACCACTATCTATTTTTGTTTAAAATGCTTGTGCTTCAAAACAACATCGAAGTAATCCGCATAGAATGTATAAAGGCTAATAAGAAATTGATCAATTACAGTTTTAAATACCAATGGGGAGATCGAAAAAAACGATACAAAAATGAATTATATCTATTGTGTTTACAGTACTAATCTTATTTATTCATAATATAGAAACATATATTCTAAAAATAAAATTTACAAACATGATCTTGGTGAAGTTTTTTTCTCTTTTAGCTCAATGGTTACATTATGAAGTTTATACTGTGATCTTAGATAGTATTTATCTAAAGTTTGCATTGATAATGTTGTCCAAAAAAACAAAAAACAAAAAAACTCAACGAATAAACTATTCTGGTTAGCGTTTTTTTTAGCCAGTTAGTTTTCTACGGGATGGGGTCGCTAACTCAATGCCCAACCCTCCTTCTTTATCCGGGCTTGGAACCGGCAGTAGCCTCTGGGGGACTCCAGGCGGACCAGACAACATTTCAGCAGAGGTACTAAAAGCAGACGTAGCGGCAACTGCAAGCATACTCCACATTCTCTTCAATAAGATTTAGGATGAGGAACAAGTACCAACAGACTGAAAGGAAGGACTACTGATCAAAATATTAAAGAAAGGCGATCTCAGCAACTGTGATAACTACAGGAGCATCACTTTTCTCTCAATACCGGGAAAAGTCTTCAACAGGGTATTGTTAAACAGAATGAAAGACTCCGTAGACGTTGACAATATCATACGGAATTCCTATGATGGGTTAATCTTCAAAATTGTGCATGGAGGACAATTGACAGACTCGTTCGAGGTAAAGACTGGTGTCAGACAAGGTTGCTTACTCTCACCCTTTCTCTTTCTCCTGGTGATCGAGACGTCAGCATCTGAAGGAAAGCACGGGATACAGTGGACATCTAGGATGCAGCTGGACGATCTAGACTTCGCAGATGATCTGGCCCTTCTATCGCGATCGCAACAACAAATGCAGGAGAGAACGACCAGTGTAGCAGCAGCCTCAGCAGCAGTAGGTCTCAACATACACAAAGGGAAAAGCAAGATTCTCCGATACAACACAGCATGCACCAATCCAGTCACAATTGACGGAGAAGATTTGGAAGATGTAAAAACCTTTACATATTTGAGCAGCATCATTGATGAACATGGTGGATCTGATGTGGATGTGAAAGCGCGAATCGGTAAAACAAGAGCAGCATATTTACAACTCAAGAACATCTGAAACTCAAAACAACTGTCAACCAACACCAACGTCAGGATTTTCAATACAAATGTCAAGACAGTTCTACTGTATGTGGCGGAAACCTGGAGAACTACGAAAGCCATCATCCAGAAAATACAGGTGTTTATTAACGGTTGTCTACGCAAAATACTTCGGATCCGTTGGCCGGACATTATTAGCAACAATCCACTGTGGGAAAGAACAAAACAGATGCCAGCGGAGAGAGAAATTAGGAAGAAGCGCTGGAAGTGGATAGGACACACATTGAGCAAAGCACCCAACTGCGTCACGAGACAAGCCCTCACATGAAATCCTGAAGGCCAAAGGAAAAGAGGAAGAGCAAAGAGCACATTACGCCGAGAAATGGAGACAGACATGAGAAAAATGAACAAGAATTGGTTAGAACTAGAACAGAAGGCCCAGGACAGAGTGGGTTGGAGAATGCTGGTCGGCGGCCTATGCTCTATTAGGAGTAACAGGCGTAACTAATTAGGTAAGAATAAACTATTCACCTCAGATAATAAACATTTATCAGCATTAGTCAATCTTTTAAGATACAAATCTTCTTTACTATATCAAATCTGATTTCTTTGAGTATGATCATTTCACAAGACTATGTGACTAAATGTAAATGGAATTTGAGTTATGAATGAGCAATATGAGTTATTACATATTATAGTGATAATATAAAATGAATAACAAAACACCTTTAAAATGAAAAGAAATTTTGATAGAATTAAATATATACAACAGTTGAGATCATGAGTCAATTAAAGTTAGAACACAATGGAAAACCTGGAAGCACTGGACGGCCGTTTCGTCCTATTGTGGGACTCCTCGGCAATGAGTATCCACGACACCGCCCCGCAAGATTTGAACCCAGGACCTATCGGACTCGCGCCCGATGCTTAACCAACTAGACCGCTGAGCAGGCCGGCATCAAACGGTGTTAATGTCTAACTTCAACTAATCCACGAAATTGAGCGACACATCCACCATTGTCATCAGTGAGTTACTACCTCACAACTGACCCGGTTGAACTTCACTGGTCACTACTTCTCACTAGAACTCCAGGATATACACCTTAAAGCCAGTCACTAGTGAGAATATGTTGAGCAACTGCTGAAATTACTACAATCTCTACAAAACGCCTTTTGATACTAAATATAATTAATTTTTATAAGTTATTTTAAATCTGATCGAACATTTGGCCTATATGTTCGTTTGTCATCTAAATCTTTCAACAAGTTATCTATTTTCTTTTTTTTTGTTTTGATATAACATTATGTCTATTCATCACATAACCTATTTATCAAGTGCTTTTCTGAAATGTGTACAACCTTTCGTTGTACAAGTTACAAAAAGCATCTTATCAGAGATTTTCTAGTTGATGCCAATATACAACGAAAACAATATACATTATTTAGATGTCGATCGACTGAATTGCTAACATTTAACTGGCAATCACTCAATATGTTATCGTCAGGATTGACTAAGAAGTAAGGAAACAGAAACGTGTTGAAATCATTTATGCTAACAATTCTATATTGTATCGAAAATATAACATTGAGGAAAGCCACTAATAATAATAAATAAATAGTAAAAGTGAAATAGTAAATTATTGAAAAGCTAACAGATTTACACAATGTTGTTATACACAGTTGTGCCCTCTGTTATTTAGATTACATGACAGGTAAGATGTAACAAGTGAAGTATAGTTACTAATATCATCGGTTCATCCTAATGATATTAATTTACAAAATATTGATTTACAAATAAATGGCCAGCTCAGTGGTGTAGAGGTTAAGTGTTCGTGCAGGAGACTGATAGGTCCTGGGTTGAAATCTTGAGGGGCGGTGTCGTGGATAGGCACTGTTGAGGAGTTCCATACGAAAACAAAACGGTTGTCCAGTGCTTCAAGGTTTTCCATGGTGGTCTAGCTTCAATTGACTCATGAGTTCAACTAAGAAATAACTAAAATCTCCACAAAACCCCCTTCTGAGAATTAATGAATTGGCTAGTGATGATCAAATATAAGAATTCATGAAAATATAAATTTATGAAGAAAATCAGGAAAAGAAATAGATAGTTACTGAAAGACAAAGATAAAATGACTGTTTGGACTCAGATATGTAGCAGAAAAAGTATTGAATTTGCGTTATTCTCATTAATTGACTTATAGTCTATAAGGAAATGTGAATTTCGAGTATCAGGTATTTATGATTCAGATCCATTGCCAAAGGAAAAAATGATTTAGTCTATTGATGATGACGTTAATAATATTTAGTGTATTCTGGTAACATTAACTGGTAAAAATACAAGAATAGGATAAAATTTTATTTCATATTTTTTGATGGAATTTTGTTCACTGACCTGGATGGTCTAGTCGTGGAGCTTTCATAATTCTTCTGAACGACATCATCAGTACAAACTTCAGGTAGAAGTGAAAGCTCCACAACTAAACTATCCAGCTCAGAGAACAAAACTCCATCAAAATCATCCACTAGATCTACAAATTTTCTCCACCATCGATAAAATTTCATCTCATACAAACTTCTTTTTCTATCATTATTAATATGAGTTTTGGACTTAATAGTTCATTGAATAATACATTGCGTCTTTAAAGTATTAAGTAATATGTTCAAGTTTTTAGTGTATATATTAACTTTAGCATGAAGCTGATAAGATTTAAATATAATGAAACGATACGCTTCCTGAATTCTACTACTAGACAATTATCAAACCTAATTCAACTATAATCG